ATTATTATTATTATTATTATTATTATTATTATTATTATTATTATTATTATTATTATTATTATTATTATTATTATATTATTATTATTATTATTATTATTATTATTATTATTATTATTATTAATTATTATTATTATTATTAATTATTATTATTATTATTATTAATTATTATTATTATTATTAATTATTATTATTATCATTAATGTCATTCTTATCACATATTATTAAAAAAAAATCTGCATGTTACTACCACATGCAATGATTACCATTAACTGTTATTGTTATAACTATTTATCATAAATTATCAATGCTATTATTACATAAATTGTATGTAAAACTGCTCTATTGTGCTAATTAGTTTCGATATATTTTGTTCAAAGCATCCGAAAACTCTATGAACCTTTGCTTTATGCATATATATAAATTACAAATTAACTATTAAAATCATTTTGTAAGGTATTTTTTTGAAATAAAAATGTTAATTAATTAAATTTTTGGGAAGCAAAGTTAATTTTGTGAATTTTATTATCAGTACCGAATATTTTGTCATATTATATGTTTATAACGAGAAATAACTCAACATTTTCAATTTTGATTTATATGTGCGCAATTTTTAAATGTTACTGATGAAAAGGCGATCGTTCAAAGTATCCATTCAGCCATACAGTATATATATTGTAAATAAATTTAGAACTATTTTTAGTTGAAAATTTTAATCGATATATTTCGAATATGATTAATTGATATTTTAGATTCAATTATGCAATTCCGAAATGTTTATAAAATAAGAAAAAAAAAGGAAAATGCTACAAGATTTTAATGATTATCTTATCTTGTATGAAAGGATGTTCAAAGAATTAATTTGGAAAGTTTAAATTTTAGACATCGGAGAATTTCAAATAAGGTATTTATTGACGTAAAATAGTCAAATATGCATTCAGAAATTCTGATTTCTAAAAAGTCCATTCTGGAATTCTACTTTGAAATTATTCCATAATTTACGTAAACGGAATGTTCGCTGGTGTTTAATAAGTAGTAAATTATCGAATTAACTGAAATATATTCCCTCACCACAACTGATAACATTATTTATGTGCCTTAAATTGATTACGGAATATTTGAATTACACCAGTTTGGTTTTCAAACAAACATATCATGTTAATTGGTTAATTAGAAAAAAAATTTATTATAATTTTAAATTTAAATTTAAATTGCGGAAAATTCTGTGCTTTACCTAACAACCTCTAACCTGTAAAGTTGCGTCATTTTAAAATCCAAAAATAAAAATTTGTCATGCTAATTTTAAAATTCATAAAAAAAATATGCATACGTGCATGATAAAGTATCAAATATCTCATTGTCATTGAAATAAGTTACCATGAATGTTTCAAGTGTTTAATGTGCAGGTGACAGGTGACACTTTAGGCTTATCCAAACAATATGTGCCAGCATTGTAATGTGGCTAAAATAATTGTAATCTAAAATATTTGAAGTGTTATCAAATCAGTATAGCTCTATTCTTATTTGCTTAAATTAACAAATGATAAGTGCAAAAATTGTCAACCTGAAAGTATTGCTTATATCTGAGCAATCTGTCAACTATCAAATATATTATTTATGAATTGGTGTTCCATCGTTATTAGTTCCAATGACAGGTAATTATACAAATATAAAAGGTAACAATCCTGCTACCTCTTTTTCCTTCAATGTCATATTTTTGTCAATTGTCATCTTCTTTTAATTCCCATTGTTAGTTTAGACCTTCACTTTACTTTTTCAGATTTAATGGAATGATTCCAGTATAATAATTATTGTCTTTGTGCCTAAAATTTTCCAAAAGAATTTTTAGATTGGATTGAATATGGATGATTTAACAAATTTAACCTTTGCAAAGGTATCCAAAAGAAAAAGATAACTGATCCAATAGAATAAAACTTTTTGAGAATTATTCCATTATCGAACATTATCTAATCTGAACCATCATTAGACTCATTGTTTTTTTTTTTTTTGAATCAATTAAAATCAATTAATAGATCAGGTGATAAAACTAAAGCTATGATCGGACTACTCAAAAGGGAATGGTAAAACATTAAGTTGAAACAAATTAAAACTTCCTTACTTTCCATTTTCTCGTAATTTACCTTTTTAAGCATATTTAATCAACAACTTTCTTTATGTCCCATTATTTGTCACACCATACTCTATCATAAGCCTTACAATTTTGAAGTTGAATGGAAAATTAAAATGTCTAATATTGTATAAATGTAAGCATTAAGCAAGCTATTTTATTAATTTATCTTATCAAATATTCTTGAGTGAAATAAACAGATCACTTTTGATTATGATGAATTAACCGAATGAGAATAAACATATTATCACTGAAAAGATTATCCAAAATTTTAGCTAACATTTAAAATTCTGGAAATACTTGAATTTCGATTGAAAAACATTTAATATTTATATTATTTATCGGCTATCATTTTTATCAGTTATCATTAATTTAAGTATTTCTTCTTAGGAACTATAATATAACATATATGTGTACATAGTAAATACAAGAAATATAAGTAATAAAGTCATAAATAAGTAAAATAAAAGTTTGCTTAAATTAAATCCATTTCGAATAATTATTACCTTTCAAACATTTGAGTGCCAAAAAAAAAGCACTTATTATTGATACAATCAAAAATGATATCTTTTGGATATTATTAGCAAAGTAAGACTTGTCACCTTTTAGGCTCTATAAATGAGGAAGGTATTTGAAGTAATTCTTGGCTAAAACTAAGATATTAAATAAGTAAAATAAATTGGAACATACGACTTAGGAATAAAACAATACCAAAGGAACAGAGAAGATCTAATTTTTGTAATTGCAAAATATAAATAATACCGAGAAGGACAAACAAGGTCCACACCTTCATACTTGAAAAATTTTCCCACGAATAATTTTAATGAAGAAAATTTACTACATCAGTTGCTATTGCATGCTAATAATATTCATCAGAATAGAGGAAATATTACCATTTCATTTGAAGGTTGAAATTTAATTGGCAGTTTTGAAACTTTCAATTAATTAATTAAAATATTTGTTACTAAATTCGTATAGTTTTATGGTCTAATCCTAGCATTATATTAGTAAGAAAGATGAAAAAAATTGTTCATTTTGAATCTACCCAACCTTACTATGCCAACATTTCTTCCTTATATAACTTCTTTTAGATCAAAAATTTTTCTCTTAACTTTTTGAAAAAATGAAAAGAGCCAGATGAAAATTTGAATTAAAAAGTGGAAATATTCATTTAATAATGATTCCATGGATAGCTGTTAGCTTAACATTCAGTCTTACTGATACAAGGAACTATTTTGTCTATTTGTTCATCCCTTCTTTTTTTTTTTTGTGCTATTATTGGATGTTTAAGATTGTAAACGTTAGCAAGTATAAATACGTGAAATTACGTTTCATACGTCAATTATGCAAAAAAGAAAAGTGACGAAAAGAAATGAATTATAATACAAAAAAAAACAAAACAAAATTAATAATAAATTTCATTACAATCAAAAGCGAATAAAAAATAAAAAAAAAAGCAAAGAAGAAATAAACACACGTACCATAAATAGGTAAAATAACTTTCACGAGTAAATCAACTATGATCACCTTTATTATTCATTAATGGACAAGATAAGAAGAAAACCATATGACCTTTTTTGACATGATAAATAATATATTTCAGTTGTATGTCAACATTATGTCAACCGCTGTTATCACTATTGTGAGGGGTGAAAATTAATGAATTAAAGAATGATGTGCAATTTCATCCAAAAAAATGTTATAATTATGCAAAACATGGAATTTAGGCCGCATTCTCAAAATAACCCACAATATACTGTAAATAGTTATCAATACCGTAATCAGGTATTATTTTGAAAAGCGATTTCGACATATATGGGAGTATATTTTTTCTAAAAATCGCACTATTCTAACATTTCCACACTTCTTCAGTTATTTATCTGATGCTAAAAAAAAGAAACGAAGGAAATGAGAGAAACCGCATGAAAAGGTCAACGAAAAGGTCAACAAATTATGCACAAAAACAAAATTGCTAGTCGAAATTTACTTTTGCTAATTTGAAATTACTAAAAATATGTGAAAATTTTTAAAAAAAAAACTTTAATAAAAATCACAGGATTGGTGTGAATGAAACCATAGTATCAGATTCAGTTGTTAAATGAAACAACAAAAATTGAGCTGCTGAACCTGAAATTATCGAAATGTAAGAAAAGAAAATTAAAAATATTAATAAATGCTAACATTTATATTTCGATTGCACATTTAGCTGTATCAAAATTAGATTTTACTTTTAAAATTTACCATTTTCATTCATTTGAATTGTCAAACTTCGTACAGCTTCCACCAAAGTACAATCTTTAGAAAGCTGTTCACGAACAGCTTCATCTTTGATAACAAACATCAGAAAATCAATGGTACTCTTGACAACATCGGCGTTTTGACAACCCAATAATAAATCCCAAATTTGATATGAACTGCTAAAATATCAATAAATTAATATCAGAAAAATGATTAAAATTATCAGTTTCAAGAAGAATGAGATAGAATTGTAAGTGTAACAATTTTTGCAGATCAAAATTCTCCCGTAGAAAATCCGTTAATTCTCTACTTGTGGAATGGAAAACTGCTAAAATCAAATAAAGATTCAAATTCAAATTTATAAATTATAAAATTAAATGGATTAAAAAAATGTTTAAGAAACATCGTCAAGAAAAAAAAGTCTCGTCATTTAGTACTAATTTAAAAACAACAAAATACTCCTAAATCATTGGGTAATTATCGTTTCTGTGATTGTTATAAGTAATTAATTGCATGATATAATAAACAGAGATACATTAAACTGTACCATGAATATCGGATAGCATTACCAAAATTAGTATTACAATTTGACAGAGAGATTAATAAACTGTAAGCTTTCTGAATTATTGATTTCTTTTGATGATTTCCTTTTTCATCAGCCTGTAAATGAAGTTCAGTTTTACAATTATTTACCTGATTCGATCTTTTTGTTTTGTAGATTTGAATAATTTAAAGGTAATTTGGTGGAATAAATATTTCTCGAACTAATTAAAATGAACAATGTCATTAAAGGACTAAATCAATATGCAACAATTTCTACCGATATCTTTTATCAATACATACAGGTATCTTAAATCCCTATCAGTTAACTTATTAGTAAATGAATATATTATCCTTATTGTATGGGCAAGAAAAAAATCATACTTCCATAGTATTTGCAGTTGTAGCGATAATTTCAAACAGAACATCAGTTAAAGAATTATTATCAACGCTGATATCAAACAGTATCGGAGGATGATTTAATTGATCTGCATCTACCAATCGTGCGAATAACTAAAAATTTCTTTTCAGAGGTAATAATCCTTATTCCAATCAGTATATTGATAATAATTTATTGCTAATGTTGATAAAAGATATTCAGATACTGATAATACTAATGATAGCGATAATTTTATTATCACATCATCATTATTGACATATTCGTAGACGCATGCAATAAAATGAAGAAAGCATATCTACAATAAATGAATAAATAATGATAAAGATAAAATAATGATAAGGCTGATCAAACGTAGTATAATATAATCAAAGATGGTATAACCAAGATTATGGGACTTACGCTCATTACGTGTAGACGTGAACTGAGATCAACGGGATGAGCAAGTTCATATAGAAGTAAACTTGGAGCTCCTTCAAATGTTATCAACTGAAATATTAGATAGCTAATAATATGTTTAACATTTCGTAACAAGTTTAAGACTATTCTAATTAATAAATTAATTACAAATTTCCCCTAAGTCGTACGAATATAAAAATATGCATGTATCCACCTGTCTATCTATTGCAACTGTGTCTTTTTCTTTTTTGTTTGGATTCTTAAATTTCTGCGAAATTTTTTAAATTTGAAAATGTTTGAAATTAAATAGCAATTCAATTGGTAAAAATTAATACTTACTCGTTTCCTGACATTAATATTACGTTCCGGTGAAGAACAACCACCCGTAAAAACGTGTAATGACCATAGCATTGAGGAAATTAAACTTTTCACAACAGTTTCATCACGTCTTTTGTAGTATGTTTGCAATAAATTGATCGTTCCTTCGATAATACCACAATCAGCTATGAAATCCTAAAATTTAAACAGAACAAATTTCATAATTACACGTAAAATTTTTCAAAAACATTAAAATTTTCATTTGACAGAATATATGAAAATTATGTGAATATAGGAAAATCAATATATGATAGTTATCAGTATAAAGTTATTAATAATTACTAACAGAAAAATCATCAATGCGAATTATCAGTGAATTATCACCGATAACTAACTATTAGTAAGTTTTTTAAGAAGATAATATGTATATTTAGTTATATAAAGTTAAATGATACCTTATTAGCATTAGAGCTACCATTACATGTTGCTGATATATTTCCAAGAAAATCAAATCCAACATGTAAAAAATATGGATTATTACGAAAAACACCCATCATACTAAGTGTACGACTAATTGTTTCACGTAAATCAGCATTTCTTACACCATCTACATCACTAACAACTCGTAAGCAAAGCATTACATCAAGTGCAACACGTTCAGAGCAATTTGGATTTGCCAAAAGATATGATATGATCTGAAATATTAAAAATTTATTACTGATTAAAATATGCATTTAAAAATTCTCTCTACATGCATCAAATTATTAGTTAATTTAAACGGTGTAAAATATAGCAAATAGAATTTATTTATTAATGTTAATTATATTAATCGTTTAATTAATAAACGGTTTATCACTAGGTAAACTGGTATATTCAAGATTTTATCCAATTTATTTGTCATCATTAAAATTATTTAATTAATTGTTGACATTGTATATATCTTACAAGAACCTTTAAAAGATTTTCCTTATCTTTCTTCTATCACTTCCAAATCTTTCGATATTTTTTATAATTTTTTTTTTTTTTACCTTGACTCCATCAAGTTGAACAAATTTCTTAGCGTAGGAAAGATCAGTTGAGCAAACCATAGCAAAAATTGCCCGAACTATTCTATACACTACCGATTCATTTCCTTCCTTCTTTAGTAATCGTAGTAAAAGTTGAATGCCACCTTTTAATTCGAATGATTGCTAGAATTTTCTTTCCTTAATTTTAATTTTTAAACAAAAATTTAAAATGTTCCTATTTTTTCATATATATATATTTTTTTTAAATTACATGAGATAACAAAAGAGATCAATCTTTTGATGATATCATAATGGTATTTCAAATAGCTTAAGCCTGAATAGAATGTTAATAAAAATATCCATTCTAAATTCATCTATTGATACTATTTCAAAGATTTAATTAAATTAAAAAGAAATCATACATCATAATTAGTTAATTATTAAAGCACAAAATATTACAATGATTAACTAACCCTCCATGTATCGCTACCATTAAAAACACGTCGAACAAGATCAAAAACATATTGTTTTGATTTATACGTATTGATGAAGTATTGATCACCTTTTTCATCCATTTCTTTCATAACACGTGTAGTACGAGCAAGGATCTTTAAAATGAAATTAAATTTAAAATAATTTAAGAAATGAAACACTAGACCATAATTTAAAAAGAAAAATGAATTAGAAAGTGAAATATTTAATTAGTTGTGATTGAGATTCACTTGAAAAATTCTACTCATTATTGAATAGTATTATGATATTAAATCATAAATAGTCAAAAAATACTTACATGAATAAATTTAGAAATGATAGATGAAGTTTGAACTTAATAGAAATAGCTAACAAATAAGCAAATAAGATTTACTTGTTCTTTAATATCTTTTCCATATCGATGTCGTTCCACCATTCCGACCAATGAATGTACGGTATTTAAAGCATATTTACAAGATTTTTGTGCTGGACTAAAAACTTGTTTGTTAAAAATTACATATAAATATTTGCTTCTAATAATTAAATAGCAACATTTAATTAATTGTGAAATTTAAATATGAAAGAGAATATTTTAATCTGTCGTTATCATTGTTATCTTAACAAATCATATCGATCATAACATTCATGTAATTAAAGTAACAGAGAGAATCCTTAGCAAAGAATTCATAGTGGAAAAAGTGAAACATTTAAAGATATTAATTAACCTAATTAACATTTGAGGATAACAGGAAATTATTTTCTATATGAATTTCAAACAGTTAAAAGGAAAATGAAACAGAACTAACTCCATCCATCGTACAAATGTTTCAAGTAATTCGTCCGGATAATGTATCATCCACTTAAAAATTGATTTTTTTTTCAAGAAGTAATTAATAAAAGATTAACAAAAATTTTTTTGCTCTAATTAGTTACTAAAAGTATATATTAATTCTTCGTCAACTATTTAAAGAAACAAAAAAAAGGACTATTTAAACAATTTATAGCATACAATTTTATATAGCAATTAACTAGAAAATATTTATATTCAAAGGAAAATAAAAATTTAAGAATGAAATTTACTTTTGACATAATTTGTTTCGTTTTACCATCAGCAGAGAATCGTGTCATTATCCGTAAAACTGTTTCTACAACCTGAAATTAATGCTTTAAGTTTGATTATTTGATAATAAGAAGTCTTATAAGCATAAACTTTGCGATAAGTGAATGCTAGAAAAAAAAAACATTCGGTTATCAGTTATATACCTATATGTGTCTCTGTAGAGCAATTAGAAATTTGAAAAAAAAGAAAAAACTTGGAAAGAATTGAGGGAAAATTAACATCATCTTCGGTATCATTTTGTCGTAACCACCGTTGTATCAAAGTTTTCATCATTTTTTCCAATTTATCAATATCAGCTCGTTCAAAATCATTCCTTGTTGCCATCATAAATACAGCACGTACCATTTCTTGTGCTACTTTCTACAAAATGAATTTCAATTAAGTCAAACATATTGCTAAAATACTAGTTCTGGTATTGAAAATTAGAAATGAAAATTGAAAAGAGTAACCGGGAATCGATATTTCCATTTGGAATAATAGATTTTCTAGATTTACTGATAATAAAAACTGAAATTCCGAAAAAAAAACAAACATTCAGAAATAATTCGGAATCTAATGTCTAATCGGAATGGTATGAAAAGATTCTAAAGAAATAAGTCATCTTTTTAAAGAAGAGATTATTTTATTCAGGTGATTTTTACTATAGTCATTTCAAGAATCATATATACTGTCAATAATTATAGCATTATTTAAATAATTTAATGTCCATTTTCAAATTAGCCTTTTTTTTGCTTAAATTCATTGATATGCCGAATAATTAATTACACAAATATTGATAGAATTCAAAGATAGCCAAGAAAATGATTGAAAAATTTGTCCTAATTTATACCTTATCAATATTGTTTACATGAGCAGTTATTTTTTCAATATATTTGTTGACAGTTTCAATAAATTTAATATGATCTGGTCCCATATTTTCCACACAAGATGATGAGGATGATGGTGCTGATGTATGCATTTGCGCTCGCTAAAATAAAATGGATAATTGTTCAAATATTAAAACAAATATTGGTATTTGTTAGAAATGAAGCCATGATTAACATTGATTAATTAAGTAAACAAACAATTACAGACATTTGTAGGTTACAACAAAAAGATCATTTTTGTAAATATTAATATTTGTCGACAATGATATTATGATTAGATCAATTAATTAGGAAAATAAATAATTACATTCATTCGTAAGTTACAACAAGGGGAAAAAAAAACTTATTTTTAGATAATTAAATTCATGTATGGAAATATTTTAGTTCTAGATTGTAAATTTTAAGCTTTTCAAAGTTTGCATACCAAATCAGCTAGTTGCCTGAGTTCGGTAATTTGTGTATTGACACTTAACATACTCATATCTTCTGTCGCACTACTTATATGACTCATTCGAGACATTGACATTACTGATGAAGGCTGCAAAAAAAAAATGATCAAATATTTCAAAATTTTAAAAAATTTTGACATTTTTAATGTCATTAAATTCGACCATTTTACTTTTATTGTTTAATATGAAAAATTATTAATGAAATTGTAAGAGTGATAATTATTACCGCCGATCCGGTCCTGTAGTGCTGTTGTTGTTCTTGGGGATAATTGATGAAACGATGATCATTCATCCAAGCTTGAGTATTCATTATCTTCCGATTATCAACCGTTGATGTCATCCGTTCCGAATACTGTGGTAATGGTTGTGATTGTTGTTGTTGTTGTTGTTGTGGTTCACATTTTATTTGTGTCCTCATTGGACTATTTGGCATTGATATCGATGGATATGGCACACTAGATTAAAATAATTTTAATATAAATAAATAATTTTAATATTTGATACAAATAGAATTGACATATATTTATAATCTTTGATTTTTATCACTTTTCTAACAAATTTTAAAAGTTTCATTTCCATGATTATTTTGCATATTAAAAATAAAATATTGAAAAATGCTATTACCGAGGTGCGGGATAATGTGGTATCGATGAATCGTAGTAACCTGCTGGATGATGAGGTTGTGGAATGTTTGGTAATGATGATTGCTCATATGAGGTTGTGGGTATTTGTGGATCGTATAATGTCGGGAGTTGTTGTTGTTGTTGTTGATGATGATTTGCTGAATAAACTCCTCCATGACATGATATGTCCATGTCAAATTTAAACTTTTATAAATAATCTGCAAATTTTGAATAATTCCTTCAAGACAATCTCCATCAAAAGATAATTGACGTAGATGAAATTTAACGCGCAATTAACGCAAGTTAAATTTTATGCAAAATAGTTTACGTAAAACTTGACATATGTCAAGTAAACATTATAGACAAATAAGATTGTCATTTGTCGATATGAAAGATATGATGGGACTAACCCACGAATAGATGATCGCCATGACAGCTGCCTGTATGTTTTTGCTTTGTTATTTGCAAAAAAAAAAAAAGATCGTTTATTTTTCATCAATTAAGAAAATTCAAAAAAAAAGTGTCATTTCAAATTTAAAAGTTTAAAAAATTCGGAATGGTTCATTTCCTGTCCATTTGTATACCCAATCTAATCCAAGTGACAAATGATCATTCATGAAATTTTTTCACCGTTACACAATTCATCTCGGACTTTTCCGCCTCTCCATTGTCCACATTGCGCACTCTCTCTCTCTCTCTCTCTCCCCCTTCTTCCTCCGATCATTCTTTACCTCCTTTTGCCCTCATTGCAGAACATTAAGCCCAGAACAATGGTAATTATTTTTCATTTCATCTCATTTTCAAAAATCAACAAAATTTCATCATACATGCAACATATACCTACCGGATGATTACGATATATTGAAATTTTAAAAACTGGAATACCGTATATTCAGTAAAGTTTGCAAAGAAATTGCATACCAGATATGATTAAACATTTAGATAATTTAAAATTCGATTAATTTGAATCTTAAGTAGTTTCCCAAGTAATCTTTACTATCATATGAACAGGTCCGATTCTAATATCTATCGAATACGGCTGAATCAAATTTTGGACAAAAAATTTTTCGATATCAATTACTGAATGTTCTCGTTAACCGGATAAGATAATCATCAACAGCTTAATTAATATCAGCAACGGATATCCATAGTCTTAAAATATCACAGTGACTTGTTTGATGATTCCCATACGTCTATTATCATTTGTCGATAGCACATAACTCAAAAAAGGACATGACGTGATTGCATTGCATTCGGATCCGGATTACATCCGGATCACTCAGAGAATATTACGTGATCGTATTGCATTCGGATCCGGATTACATCCGGATCACTTGGAAAATACTACGTGATCGTATTGCATTCGGATCCGGATTACATCCGGGTTATTTTATGACGTACACTGTAAGTGAGGAACTTTTAGACAGGAAGACAGATGATAGGAAATGAGTAAGTTTAGATAAATAATCGCTTGTAATATTACTGGAATTAATTGACGAAAAATTATGCAAATTTCCGGAGGTAAGAAAAATGAAAAGGGAAGATAACGTGTTATAATACAAAATATTGCTAAACAAAACCGGAATTGAACTAAAGAATGCGTTATTTACCCATTCATTCATTCATTCAACCATTTTCAAATTTGAATTTATGCCCGGTTATTTTAAATGTTATTAAGAGATTGTAGGAAGAGAAAGAGAGAGGGATGAAGAAAAGGAAAGAGAGAGAGAGGGAGAGAAAGAAGATGAGGAGAAATTGGTTGACAAAAGAGAAATTAAATGGTATAAGAAAAGGAGAGATGAGAAAGGAAAAAAGAGTAAACAGAGAAGAGGTCATTTCTGTCAAAGGATTGAGAAAGGGGAGGATGAAAGAAGGGTTGAACCTCAAATTAACCGCCAAAAATTGAGGAAGAAGATAGGAAATGAAGGAGAAAGAGGAAGGACAAGAGGGAGGGGAAATGCCACCTGTCGCCAATTCATCAATAAATGTATTTCAAATATAGATATATAATAGATAGATAACTCTAATTACCAATACACTAATTAATAATTATGAAATATGTTACGCATGTATACTAACCTATGTCATGCATGTATGACATAAGTTGTTGAAATTTGAAACAGTTTCAATTTCATAATGGATAAATTGGAAGAAGTATGAAGTCATGATAAGTCAAATATGCTAATTTGATATGATATGATAATTTAGATTTGAAATTATATTAGTTTGTAAA